ACAATATTTTAACACATTTTTATGTCTGTAATTAATGCATCAAAATGAAGGTATTTAAGTACTAGCCCTACTAGGAATTAAATTAGCAAAAAAAAAAAAAGCACATATTTCATAATCATCTTCCTCCTCCTCTTCCTCCTCACCATCTCTGCCTGTTTGACCGTTCGGGGGAACCCGTCCAACAGGAATCCGTTCTTACAGGCGGGAGTGTCCAGGTTCTTGTCGATGAGTTCCACCACCATCTCATCACTGACCTGCAGGAGAAGAAAGACACTCTGACTTCTATGGAGGGCTACAACGTCACACAGTGGACAACGTGTCCACTGAGACCTAGACATGTCAAAGAGTCAGGACATGTTACCAGTTTTCCAGCATCCATGGTCTCCTTCAGCCTCTTCCCCAGCTCTGAGCCTGACGCCACCATGGCCCTCAGCATGTCCCCAGTGGACAGGTGGCAAACGCAGTATCTGTCCGCCAGACGAGGAGCCTGGACAGAGGAAACAAAACAAACAAAAAAAAAAAACACTGGTTGAATGGTCTGTCAATTGTCTCCATCAACATTGTCTGAGAGTTATCAAAACAACTATTTGTGACCTGTGGGGGGCAGTATTGTTGACGAAGACGGATGAAAAATATTCGTCAACGGATGAAAACTAAATAAAAACTAAATAAAAGTCTGCTATGATGACGAAGACTTTGACTGGGCCAACATGGAGACAAACGTCAACCAATAATTAGTAAAAAAAAAAATCTAACTTGAATAAGTGACAATATTCATAATATTTATTTCTCTGATCCTCCAGCTTCAAAATTACGAGGCTAAAGACTTAAATTATGATGAAATACAATCACAGAATTCAGAATTTACCTGTCATGAATGTAATGTCTGAGTTTGAAATCAGAAGATATATTGTGTGTTTTCTGTAAAGACTGCAGTTTTGACACAATTTATTTTTAAACTTAATAAAATACTAAATACTAAATATTTGTGAAAATACACAAACATCGTTTCGATGTATTTTTTTGTGTTTCGGACGCTGTCACATCCCGTATGTGATAATAACAAGCACCGACAGGTAAGTTAGCATTTGGATTAGCATTTTAATTCAATTTCTATTAGCATGAGCTAATAATTATTAGCGCACCATGCGTTGCAGTGACGCTTCTCGGAGGCTAACTGCTAACTCTGCTAACTCACCTGAGTTCCTTTCCCAGCTCCCGGAGGTCCAAGAAGAATGGCCCGAATTCCGTCATGAATGTCGGCTACAGCCTCCTTCAGCTGCACGCTGGGAGCCATGTGTAAACCGGAGGAGAGTGAACACCGGGGTAAAAGTTTTTACTGCAGGCTCCGGGTAAGTTGGCCGGCAGAGATAGCGACACCGCAGCCGAGTCGTCCAGGAAAAGACAGCAGACCCGCCTTCTTCCTGCTACAGCACTCTAAGGCCCGCCCATCTATCAACAAGCCTGTGTCTGATTGGCTTTCGGAGCCGTTTGTCAATAGATGAGCGCGTTCATTCGTCAAAAAGCATCAATTAGTTGTGTAACGTCTGAAAAAGTTTTTTTTTTTCGTGCATAGTTTGTTTTAGTTGTAATTGATCTAGGAAACCGCATAAAACGCCAAAATAAGATTTTAAAATATTTTTAAAAATTCGTATACTAAATACACCTAATGCCCCCTGTTTTACTACTTTAAAACCACACGATGTTTTCACGATATTTATATCTAGTTTCTTATTCATTTTAAATAAATAGTGTAAGAACATAAAAAATATGAAATAAACAGGGCAAAAAAATCCACTGAGCCAAGAATTTTCTCCATGTTTTAACAGTGAGCCTAGTTATAGTTAAGGAAGTTAAAACTATAACATAGGGAATAAAAATAAACATAAACTGCTTATGCTAAGTTAGCTTGAAGATAAAAAGGTTACTTAATAAGTTTTTAAAAAATCTGTCTTGACTTTTGAAGGAAAAAAACATTCAGGGGATGTGAAACTTGAACTTCTCAAGATTCTTTAAAAAAATTAAATTAAAAAAAGAAAAAGGAAATGAAAAATGGTCTTAATATTAAATTACAATCAAAACCATTGACTTTTGAAGGAAAAAAACATTCAGATAAGTTTTTAAAAAATCTGTCTTGACTTTTGAAGGAAAAAAACATTCAGGGGATGTGAAACTTGAACTTCTCAAGATTCTTTAAAAAAATTAAATTAAAAAAAGAAAAAGGAAATGAAAAATGGTCTTGTTTAAAGAACAGGAAATGCCTTTATTGGTCAAACAGGAAGGACATGATGAGTATGTTGTCTCAACTGCTGAAGAACTCATATCTACTTCTTTTCTGAAGCCACTGATGACCAGACGCAGAGCAGGAAAATGCCTGACGCTGATATTGTTTACTCCGATGTCAAGTTCAAAAGATCCAAAGATGCCGGCAGGGGTGAGTCTGGGAAGTCCAGTCCATGAAATCCAGATCAGAAGTGTGGATTTTACCATTGACTTCACTTGAAGAAAGAGAAGAAGAGAAAACCATTTGGTTCTTACAAGGGTCAGAATAATGGGAAACCACAAGGTTGATTTACATTCATCTCTTTTTGTGGTGTTTGTTTCAGAAGTCACTTCCTCTCCTGACGTTTCCACAACATATTCTGATGTGAAATTCTCCAGTCCGTCCACGCAGCAGCACAGTGAGTCAACTTACAGTACTTTTTGAAACAAACACCCGACCAGGGCGAGAACAACCTTCTAGAAGTTCCATCTCTGGTCTTTGATTCAAAGTGTGAGACTGAAACAGACACAGTTTTATCTATCGACTGTTTTCATCTGCTACGGCTTCATGGTTTAGAGTGAAGATCACGTCACCAGGGTCACACAACGAACAACCATTCACGCTCTCGTTCACATTCATATGTTAAAAAAATGCATTTGTTGAAGGTGTGAAAATGTCTTGGTGGAACTGTCTGGGCTGTGACCCCAGTCTGTCCTGACGACGGCTGGGACTGGTTCCAAACTGTTTTTCTTTTTTTTTAACCATATTCTGGGTCCTTTTGTCTGAAAGTTAATTAACACTCATCATAACATTTTTAGTTAATCAGTGTAAACAGAGTTGGAGGTTTGAGGAAAAAAAAACAGAAGTGACAAAAATTGAGATCAAGACAATTTTTTTTGGCCGTCATCTGTTGCAAGAAGAGTGTGAACTTCCTGTTTCCATTAGTTTATCTCTTATTGACACACGACGTTGCTCTGTTGCTGATACCAATATTAATATTCCTATTAGCAACATATAAAAGCCCTAGTTATGCTGAATTTGCATTTGCAAGGGTAGCTAGCCTAGCAAAAGCTAGCTAACAGCCTAACATCAATTGAATAGTGTAATGACATAATATACATAATAAGGTGAACCACATAACCACATCTGATTGGCCAACCTTTAGATCAAAGACCAGCAGCAGAACCCTCACCACAGAACAAACAAAGACGGGGAGCGGTGACGTTAGAGCGAGTTCTTCTGTTGATCGCCACGCTCCTATTGGCTGCTGCTCTGGCTGCTCTGGCTGCTGTCTGTGAGTCTGTCTGTTACATTTCACATTTCATATTTTTGGATTTGAGCAAAACCACTTTACGACATGACTTCTGTGTCTTTTTCTCTTCTTTGGGCCAACATTTTTTTTTTAGTGATTTTGGCAAAAAAAAAAATTGGTTATTTTACAGAATACATAACAGCAATTGTTAACACAAATGTTTTAACTAGATTCAGCTAATCAGGTTTTGACTGTTGTTAAATATATTTCAGATATTTTGGGGTGAACTTCATGTTCTTTTTAACAGTTTTTGTAGATGTTTACAATAATGCTAAAAGCTACATTTTCAGCTTTAGTGATTTATATACTTTATTTATCAATATTTAAGCTTTTTTAAGCTAGTATTTTCTGGCTAATTAGCAACCAGCCAGAAAAATAATGTTTAAATATCACAGCTTTGCCTGAACACGTTTTAAGCCTTTTTAGCAGAAGGTTTTGGCTAACCTTTGGCACATTTCTGTTTTTGTATTATTAACCTTCTTTTGGGTTAACGTCTTCTAAACTTTTTTTTAAATGGTTAAACTTTCCTTTCGATCAGCTCTTGAAAACAGAGGGACCAAGATAAACCTGGAGAAACTGCAGCGTGACCTGACAAATCTCACAGGTAAGTTTTATTTTGCATTGTTTCTGTTTAAAATTAAAATAATTAATTGTCCTAATTTTTTTAAATAATTAGGAGCTTTTACAGGGTTTGTGTTTACACTGTTTTATTCCTTTTTTGTATTTATTTATATTTTTTTATTTTCTTTTATTTTTCTTCTACATCCACACGTATCAACATTTTTACCCATTCAGTTTTCGATTTCAATTTTCACGTTACAAAAATCATTCCTAATTGATGAACTAGGCTAAAATAGAAGATGCCCACGACACGCTGAGCAAGGTATCGGATCGGTATCGCCAGATACTCAAAGTTGCAGTATCGGTATCGGGCCAAGGATTTGGGCCTAAAACTGACTGGTTTTTGTCCTTCGAACAGAGACACAAAAAAAGATGAATGAACTCAATAAGCTCAACGTGAACCCGCCGCGATGTCCAGAACCGACTCCATCAAGAACAAGTACGTTTGGGAATTTTTAGGACAAATTAGCAGAAGGGGGCTGAGTGATCAATCAGTAGAAAATTAATTTAAAAAAAAGTTTAAAAAAAGTAAAGAATTTGTGTCATCTCCTGAGGTGGGCACACCTGTGGCAGAGACTGGGAACATCACGGAGGAAAGTGTTACCATTTCACAAAGACTAATTTAACATGGAATGACAGCAGAGAACGATGCACACTATTGGGAGGACACCTGGTGATGATTGAAAGCCAGGAAGAGCAGGTGGGAAAAATGTTTTTTAAAAAATCAGGTTTTGGTCTTTTTGCCCATTTGAAAAAATAAAAGTGAATGTCGTTGTTTCTCCGTCTTCAGCGATACCTGGTGAACAAAGTGAAGGAGCTCATGACAACCGATGAGGACAAGTTTTGGATCGGGCTGACGGACGCAGAGACGGAGAATACGTGGAAATGGGTCGATGGATCGTCACTGAGGTGAGATCGCTGGGAAAGTTCAATTCATTTCTCCATTTTTTAACAACAGGATTTTTTCATCCAGAATTTGTTTTTCATCCACCAAGCCCGCATTTGGAGTTTTGGCTACATAATGAGCCCGACAACTGGACAGGGCAGAATGTCGAGGGTGAGGACTGTGTGAGGCTGGGTGAGAAAGGAGCCACAACTCGTAACCTGAGATATTGGACGGACAAATCTTGCACTGTCCCTCATAAAAGTATTTGTGAGAAAAGCTTGGAAAAATGTACTTGTTTCTAACGTCCAGGGAGACGTCCACATGGAGATTTAGCCTGTTACGCTGACGTTGCTTACAGATACAGATAGCTTAGCAAAGCGAGCTAATAGTTAGCCAGGGGCAGCTAAAAGAGAGCCAAACCACTGTGCCGTGGAAAATTATCCAATTTCACTGAATTGGGCTAAAAACTATTATTTATTTATTGCATATAATTTTTCTTTGCTTGTCAAAGCGTGAAAGGCAGAACAATTAAACCCTCTTCTGCTAGGTGGCAGCAGATAGCTATTAAAACTAAAAAAATATATAACCAGAGCTGTTGAAAAAGGTCTTTGTGAGTGTCTTTCTTCAATTCCTGCCAGTATGTCAGCGTTGTCTTCAACTAAACAGGCTGAGATTTGAGTCAATTATGAAGTCATTAAAACTAGAAGATTTTTATATTTCATTACAAAGACATTTTTGTGAGATGTTTGTTTGGTGGTGTGTTAGCTCAAATGTTTAAACGTTAGCCAAGAGATGATTCAGAATTAGCCAACAGAACAGCCAATAATGTGTAAAATGAAACATATACAAAGCTAACCATCAAATAACAGTGCCTCAAAATGGCTAAGAAGAATTAGCGAAGCCTAAGGATTTAGCTAGCTTAACGATTTTACTTCTACTTTTTGTATTTATCCCAGTTTGCCTGTCAGTGTTGGTGAAAACGTACAATTATTGTCAAAAACCTGATGAAGACTGTAATAAACTCAGACTCTACTTCAACTGAAGCTGGGATGAAGTGTTTTTTTTCAGTCGTTCCTCACGTGCACAAACCAGGATCAACAAAAAACCTCAACCTGATCCCAAACAGTTTCCATGATTTTCTGGTCTAAACATCAGGTTCACGTACCTCGTATCTCTTGGTTCCGACGACATGGTCTAAGGTCCAGGTCCAGTTCCAGGCTGCAGCTCCCGTATGACCATGATCCGTACCAGCATGGCCTCCATGGTTCTGTCATCCAGGGGGCTGGAGGAGAACCACAGGGGGCTGCTGGGAACACAGCGTCTCTCTGGGTGGAGGTAAAACAAGTGGCTGCTCTGCCTCACCCCCCTGGGGCTGAGAGAAAACAGGAGAGTATACATATATATATATATATATACTGTATATATATATATATGTGTGTGTGTTTTTGTTGACAACACAGATGGAGTCCCGGCTAAAAGACGCAAGAAAGAGGAGAAACAGATTTTTCTGGAGATCCCAGAGAACGAGGAGAACTCTCTGCGGTGTCCCGTCAGACTCTTTGAATTCTACCTCTCCAAGTGGTGAGTGAGTCTGGAGAGACAGACAGTAGATCTGAGATATATATATATATATATATATCTCAGCTCTACTGTCTGTCTCTCCAGACTCACTCACCACTTGGAGAGGTAGAATTCAAAGAGTCTGACGGGACACCGCAGAGAGTTCTCCTCGTTCTCTGGGATCTCCAGAAAAATCTGTTTCTCCTCTTTCTTGCGTCTTTTAGCCGGGACTCCATCTGTGTTGTCAACAAAAACACACACACATATATATATATTTTTTTTTTTCCCCACTGATGTTTCTACAGATGCCCGTCTGTACAAACACAGCCTCTGAACCATCGTGTCAACGACACACGGTCCACGGTTCATGGTCCACACCTGAAGTCCTGGACAAGAGAGGGTAAAAGCGCAGGACGTCAGTTTTGCTCTGGTCCGGGTTGGTCCTGGTGCAGGAGGTGATGTTGGTGAAGCGCAGCTGGCGCTGGTGCTCCACCCCGGTGAAGCCAAAGTGTTTGCAGCAGAAGAAGAGGAGGGTGTTGAGCAGGACCAGGGGGGAGTACGCCCCCAGCTGTTTGCAGTCCCACAGGAAGTCCTCCTTCACACAGGACTCCACCAGAGCTGTGGGGGAGAACAGGAGGGGGGGGGGAGTCGGGTGAGGAGTTCTGAGAGAGGAAACACAGATTGACCACCAAGGCCCGGACCAGAACTCACCGCCGGATCTGACCGAAGGTCTGAGGATGTTGGTGAACTCGGTGGAGAAGCTGCTGTAGGTCAGATCACTGAAGATGTTCTCCATACGACCGTGGTCAAAGAGGAACTGAAAACACAGAGACATTTACACAACAATTCATTTGGAAAAAGATTCGATACGTTTTGAACGTTAGGTGAGAACTGAAGGACAAGACGGCAGCTAAAGGTTAGCTGAAGGATAACTAAACAGGAGACGTTAGATTAGCAGAAGTTAGCCTAACGTGTCCAACGCTGATGAGATCATCCAGGCAGTCAGCCAATGAGCAAGTCTCTCCTAATGACTCAATGGCTACACTCCATGCACAGGGAAAACTACAAATCTACCCCCAAAACTCCAGCTGTAAGCTAATGTGACGCTAAGTGTCGACACTGCTGAAAAAGATATTTAAGAACAAAAACACAATTATCTGAAGCTAAAGGATAGCGACGACAATAAGTGGATGTTTGATTGGTTCAACGCAGTGATGAAATCCCACCCGTACGAGTGTTGGTTAACCCGGTTAACAACTGGAGACAGAGTCGGATTACCTTCTGTAGAGAGAGGCAGACGTAGAAGAGAGCGTCGGGGGAAAAACCGTCTCCGTCCACTCGTCCCCACTCAGAGACAAAACGACTGAGACTGAGACTGAGCTCGGACAAGGAGCAGTGAAGGAGGTTGTCCTTCAGACACAGGGTGCTGCCACCTGTAGGAGGAAGAGGAGGAGGACAGAGGACAGAGACATTTGACATAGTTTTAGATTTTAATGATTAACTAACAATAATGACGAGGGATGAGGTGACCTACAGGGGTCAGTGTGGAGGTCACTTTGACCTCCTCTCCACTGGACCCATCTTCTCCAGGCCTGGACTCCTCGCTCAGTGTCCAGTCTGTCACACATCAGCGGTCTGTGAGTGGACGTGGTCGACTGCTGCTGCTGTGGACACGGAGGAGACACATATGTCCACAGGTGGAAGTTGAACTGGGACGAGGAGGAGAAGCAGGAGGAGCACTCACCTGGAGATCATGTGGAGTAGGAACGGCAGGAGAGGAGTCCAGTCCAACAGGAGACGAGAGGCCGGGGTCAGTGAGAGACATGTCCTGTGTGTCCACGGGACGCCTGTCCTGACTGTTCAAACTGTTGATCAGATCTGAGGACAAAACAAAAGCCAATAAAAACAAAGGAAAACTTTGACGGACGTTCTGATTTGATCAGATTTGGTTCTGATCTAAACTTCTCCAGATTTTGTCTCTCATTCAACGTTTTATGAATCATTTTTGAGGAGACCGTCTTCTAATTTTGGGCAACAATTTTCACCTCATATTTGGAGAATTCATGACTGATTGTGCTACATTTGTGGCTAACCTTTAGCAACTTTCAAAAACAATTTGGAGTAACCTTCAGATGTGTAAAATACTTGTTTTTTCACTTCATTCTATTTCAACCAGCAATCATTTCTAAGTATTTTCTTCCAAATAACTTTCTTTTTTTGATAACTTTTTTTAGTGTTTGAAACTATTTTTGACTTTGACTTTTCTGTGACGTGAGGTGATCATGACATAAAATTAAAGTATGTTTTTTTGTTTTTGCGATCTCTCACGGTGCACCCTGCTGGTCGATGTACTGTATGTCATGAGTTTTTCCAGACACGGGACTCTCTCCTGGTCCCTCACCTGTCATGGCCTCAGGTATTTGTCCCTCTGTTTCTTCCTGTCTGTCGTTCTGCTGGAGTTCTTTGTCCACATCTTTTTTCTCTGTTTGTTTTGAGGCGTCCGGAAAAACGGGGACGAACATGGGCACAGGCAGCTGTGAAGAACGTTTGGAAAAGTGCGAGGATGACGTCAGAAGACGATCAGCTGTTTCAAAGGCGTGTGAGGATGTTTATCGTACCGGCAGAGGCAGAGCCACAGGGTACGGCGTGAACTGACTGTACATGCTCATGGGCAGTGGCAGGTAAACAGGCAGAGGCAGAGGCACAGGCAGAACAACCACCTTAGGGTAAAAGGTATCTTCAGAAAACACAGGAGGAGAGAAGAAAACAATGACTCTGCGCTGACGTCACACACATCGAAGAGTTGGATAAAAAACCCAGGTGGTCAACTCACCCGTCTGTGCTTCCACTTCAGAAACAGAACTCGTACAACTGACGCCTTTGTTGTGGACCAGTGGGGTGCAGAGCAGGGACTTGTTCTTCAGCTGTCTGGTGTCTGTCAGAACACTGGCCTGAAGGAGAAGAAGAAGAAGAAGAAGATTGTCAGAACACTGGCCTGAAGAAGGAGAAGAAGAAGAAGAAGAAGAAGAAGAAGGAAAAGAAATAGAAGACAAAGAAAAGAAGAAGAGGAAGAAGAAGTAGGAGAAGAAGAGTAAGGAGAAGAAGAAGAGGAAGAAGAAAAAGGAGAAGTAGAAGACAAAGAAGAAGAAAAGGAAGTAGAAGAAGTAGGAGAAGAAGAGGAAGATTTTTGGATTTTTAAATTAACTCTTTATGAACAGGAGGTGTTCAAACTGTAAAGCACGAAACAATCAACAAATTAATTAGTTAGTAGAAGTGGAGGACTGGTCTAGTTAAGAGAACTTACTTGTCCAACAATCTTAGCTTTAGCCTCTTTGTACTTAGCCAGGTAACCAGCCAGTGAGATCACGTTACTGATGACAGGACATGAAGCCACCGAGACAGAAGAAGAAGAAACTGGAGATGAAGAAGAAGGAAGTTATAAATCGATTCAATCTGAAGGCTGGAGCGTCCGGACGCTCTCCAATGTTATTCATGTTGCGTTGTACTTGTTACGACATGTTGAGCGACTTAACTTAGTTAAAGTTAACTTTAACAACTCGCTGTGTTGGGATGTGTTTAAAACGACTTTGTTGCAAACCAACGTTTAAGACTTTGAACATTCACCTGTGTTCTCCGTATGAGCAGCTTTCCTGCAGAAGTTCTGCAAACACCTGAGGTCACAGAAGTGTTTGACCTCTGCCGGCAGCTGCAGACTCTCCTTCAGTTTTTCATTCTGGCCACAGGAGTCACACTGCGCCACCTGGTGGCAGTCACAACAACGTTAGTCATATTTTTACCCGTTCTTTTGTGTGTTTTGTTTTCCACGACAGGAAGTGGTCCTCCTGAACTCACGCGGTTGAAGACCAGGCTGAACTTGGACCTGCAGTCTTCAGAGCAGAACTCCATCTGTTGGTTTCCGTACACCGACGTCACAGACGTCCTGCAGAGGTCGCTACAGTAATGACAAGTGTGACAACAACTGCCCCACTCCTTCAGACGATCCTTGGTGAAGATCATCTCACAACCTGAGAAACCAGGAAGTGATTTTATTTCACTTCATACCTTTGATTTCAGACGGTGCTTTTTATTTTTATTTTTTGTGTTTTTTCTGCTGCTTCTCTCACCTTCGCTGCAGAAGCAGCAGTCTCTGCCGTTCATCCTCCTGACCTCGTAAATCACACGTTCACTCTGACAATATTCACACCTTCCTGTGATGTTGTTGTCTCTCCTGAAAGCTACGCAGCAGCTCTGGCTGCACAGGAAACTCAGCCTGTCCTACATGTTCAAAACACAAGAACAGAAGATTTATTTAATTAACTTTAAATTAATCTAACCTTCATTTGTTTTTATTCTCCAAACATTAACACTAACATTCACACCACTGGTCCTTAAAGTGAGTCCAAGACATTTGTGTCTTTCTTCACTTCCTGCTACTCCATCAGTGTGGTGTTCAACTAAACAGGCACAGTTGTCACAATGACTAAGTACACAAAAAGTATTTGATTTTCCATATACTTTTTGTGACATTTTTTGTTTGGTGGTGATATTTGATTTTCCATATACTTTTTTTTTTGTGACATTTTTTGTTTGGTGGTGCATCATGGGATTGTTCTAATGTAAAATACTGGCTTGGACTGAACGTGTGGCTCACGGACCTCCTTCTGGACAACTTTGGGTTTGGCTTCTATCTGGGCTTGACAGTGGACACAGAGCAGCTGCTGCTGCCGTGTTCGGTCTAAGACGGTGTCCGTGTCTTTCTGAGGGTCCTGTGGAGCGGAGACAGACATCACAGCAGAAGAAGACACAGTGTCATCGTGTTTTCGCAGCCTCTTTCTCACGATCTTTCCTCGTTTTACCTTCTTGTCGTTGGCGGGCTGCTTTTCCTTAAAAGCCATCGCACAGGACAGAGAGCAGAAGTTCCTGATGGAGGCGTCGGCCATGGCCAGGTGACAGGCCGGGACTGTGTTCTTCCCACAGCTAGCACAGTCCACTGGGCTGCCTGTAAATGAGGCGACACTTGCGTGAGCACCGTGTTCCAGATGAGGGCGTACTTGGGTTCTTTACTCCCGGCTGGGTTTCCATCCAGTACCTGCGGCGCTGACGGCCTGGATCTTTGACGCCGTCACACAGCTGAGGGAGCAGAAGAACTCCAGCTCTCCTCCACCACCTCTGTTCTCCACCATGTCTGACAGAGGTTTAGAAGTGCTGCACATGGAGCACTGCTGCGGCCTCTGGATTTCCTGTCATGGATGACGCAGACGCAGTGTCAGAAGACAGATACCCAGAACTAACAGGTCTCTACTGGGGACGACTTCAGAGACAATAAAACAGACCCTGACGTAAAAGAGTGAAATTTTCAAATTGGTAAAATAAAAAAGCAGCGCAAATAACTATTTAAAATAAATCCATTTGAAATCATACAGCAGGGGAAAAAAATGGAAAAACATTTTGTAATATTTACATTAGCTAATATTCAAAAATATATTTGCTCAACGTAGCTGGAATACAACAGAAAGTTAAATCAAAATAGCTAAATGTTTCACAATTATATTTCAAAATGACCAAACACCATCCAGAAAACTACTACTTTCAATAAATCAATAAATAACTGTTAGCAAAAAGCTAACTACTAATGTCAAGTTAGCCATGAAAAGACAAAAAAACACGTCACCTTTTTGACCTGAGCCACACACACAAAAAAACGCGTCACCTTTTTGACCTGAGCCACACACTCTGCGCTGCACAGCTTCCTGTGGAGCTCCTCGGTTCTGAGGACGACGGCTGCTGTGACGTAGCTGCGGTGACACCACCCACACAGACTCAGGTGGTTGACGTTACAGAAGCGCAGGAAACAGCTGTCGCTGCACAGTTTCTGCACACGCTCCTGGTGTGTGACCTCATGTCTGCTCTGCGGGACGACAAAGAGACAGGAGCGGCCGGTGAACGTCTCGAATCAGAGATGTTTTTTTTAGATTTCATCAACTTCCTGTCTCTTACTATGCAGTATCTGTTGCACATGCAGCACTGGGAGTGACTTTTAACAGGCACCATGGGAATTCCGATGGTCACGCTTTTCTTATAGTTGAAGGAGGACATGCAGGTCTGGCCGCAGAAGTCCTTCACCGTCCCCTCATCGTCCACCGGAGCCTGGAGGACGTCCTCAGACTCTTTCACAGACCTTTGACAAAAACAAAAGAACAATTTAAGATCAGTCACATCTGACACACGTATATATATTTATATATACACAGGTGGAGCTGAAGGACACAGAAAGGTCACAGGTCAAAGGTCTTCCGAGACTCACTCCAGACAGTAAAAGCAGGTCTTCCTGACCGGCTTCATCTGGTAGAATTTGAAAAGGCAGGAAACGGAGCAGAAGATTTCCGAGTGGTTCTCCTTCTGGTAGAACGTCTCCCCGTCCACCAGAACCTTTTTACAGTCACAGCAGCAGAGTTGGACTTCCACACCAGGGACAGGGGGCGCAGTAGAGCACGGATCCTTCACGGGAGACGCCGTCTCCTGGACAGGTGAGACCTGGTGCTCGGCAGTAGAGTCTTCTTTCATGGAGACGACGGAGACAAACCCGTCCTCCTGTCAGAGACGGTGGAGTCAGAGGACGTCGCAGTCGTGGAGTTGGTTTTAAAAGTTTCTCACCAACCTTTGCCGTTGGCTCAGGCTTGATCCGGTCGGTTGATGTGAAGGGTGAGTTGCTCGGCGTGAACTCCTCGTCGTCGGGTTCTTTCTTGATCTTCAAGCACAAGAAGAAGACGAGACGTCATGACGGCCGACGACTCAAAGACAATGAGGTCTGTGTATCTAGACCTTTTCATTTAACACTCACACAGTCCAAACGTATCGAAGTTGGCTTCACATCCTCAATGTCGCCCCCTTCAGGTGAGGGGCTGCCCCTTTCTGTGAAGACATGATGAAATAAGATCCAATAAAGCCTGTTCCTGTTCTCATTGGTCAGAACAAATATGTTCTCGGTCGGAAATGTCTTCATTTCAGGCACAGGTCAAATCAAGGTCACCATTTTTTTTTTACTTAAAATTATTTTTTTAGGATTGCAGTGTTGACAGTAGAATACCTGACAGAGTGACAGACTGGGCCATGTAGACCATCATGCATCTGTCACTGCAGTAAAAACTCAGGACGCTCTCCCGGTTCTTGTTTTCAATCATGTCTGACATGCGATGAGACGTGCAACAGGTGGGACACGACTGGAGCCTCTCTGTTTTCTGAGGAGGAACAGAAGTGAGGACGGTGGGGGGAAAAAAAAAAAAAAAAAGCAGCTGCTTCTCCCGAGATTAACAACATCATCAAAGACAACGAGGTCAGGGAGAGTTCAGAGGGTTTACGACACGATACGTATCGCGACACAGGGGCAACAATACGATACATTGTGAAATAATTATCTCATTTAGAGGGAATAGGTCAGTAAAGCATGGACAGTTTAGCATGTTCATGTTATATATACGTTCACATGTACTCAGACAATGATGCTGCACCTCTTTGAACTTGACCAGACACTCATCACTGCACACGGTCTTCCTGTCGTCGTCCTCCTCCGTCACCACCACCATCATTCTGTCCTGGACGCAGACGGAGCCACAGACGCGGCACGTAGACACGGGCAAGTTGTTGCCTCTGAGGCAGAGGACGTAGCAGGCCTCGCTGCACAGACTGTAGAGCGAGGTTCCCACGGTCAGCTTGAACTTTTCCTGGGGAAAAGAAAAAAAAAATATATACATAGAACACAGACGGTGGAGTGAGTTTTTCCACCGATGTCCAACGGTACTTTGGTGTTTCCTCACGTCAGCGAGTTTATGACAAATCCTGCAGGATGAATCGGTTCCTGGTGATGGTGATGGTGCTGGTGTCGGCGGTTTCGGGGCTTTGTGGCTCCTCACAGACGTGATGGAGGCGAGACAGGTCTCACTGCACAGCTCCTTCATCGTCCCAGAATCACCCACCGGGGCCAGTATGACGCTGTGAGGTCGCGGTATGACCCTGAGGAGGCGGGAAACAGACGGGACTCCAGTAAACACACGGAGGCTCAGCGTCTCACCGTGGGGGCTTTCACACTGACACGGTTCTCTCTTGTTTTAATTGTAGCCTAAGATACACGCCCACTGATGATGTCACGGTTCACAGGGGAGAAGCAGGTATTTCTCAGTTGCCTCAGGAACCAAATTTTCAGGTTCTAAACTCGATTAAAAAATGAGTTCCGGTGAGCTTCGTGCCGGCGTGAAAGCCCCATGTGAGGACAGTGTTCTTTGGGCTGCGTGTCTCTCCCACTCCTTCAGTCATATTTGAAACCTGTGAACCTACTGACAGCAGTTGAAGCAGGTCTTGGCCTCCACGTCGGTGCGGGACCTTCGGGAGAAACACGTCTGGCTGCAGAAGATCTTGGGAGAGTCGTGCGGTCGGTACATCGCCCGTCCTCTCTCCAGCTTCTTCCCGCAGTTGGAACAGAGAACTGTCGTTCGTAGCGAAGGAGCGGCAATGGTTGGTTTGGTGCATGGTGGAGGCAAGATGACCTCCTCCTGATGATGGAGAGAAACTTCAAATGGTCATCGCTGTTACTTAACTCTCTCTTAGCAAATACGGTTAATAAAAATAAAAACTCACACAATCCAACTTTAACTTATTTTCTCCTTTTTCCAAACTTGACTTTGTCACGTCTGGTGAGAGAAATGACAAACAGCTGTTCAGGTTCACTGCTGCTCCTGCTCTGTGTTTGTGTGTGTGTGTCCAAACTTCTAACCCTGACCTGGAGCTGCACCAGGACGGTGCTGTTTGTAGGAGTTCACACAGGCTCGACTGCAGAAGAACTGGAACCATCCCTCGGTGTTCCTGAAGAGGAACATCTCCGCCGTCGGCCAGGGGGTGCAGCACATGGTGCAGGGGCGTGGCCCTGGGTTTTTCTGAAGGACAAAATAAGACAAAAAGTCGACTGTTTCTTCCAGGTGACACTCTCCCCCTCTCCCTCCCTCTCTCTCTCTCTCTCTCTCACCTCCTTGAAGACCTCCAGACATCCTCTCTTGCAGACGGCCTTCGTCCGGTCCTCCA